ATTGATATATAATTTCATTTATGTATTTTAGTTTTTATAGATTTAAAATAATTATCTATTCAAAGTAGTTATTTATATTATTTTTATTGTCAACTTGTAGCGATTAACCTATATAAGAATGCTACAAGCTGCACTTGGTGGTGAAGTATTAGCACGGAAATCACGACGTTTGGTACAGCTGACCCACGATTTGTTAGTGCAGTACACTCCTATAGATAATGTCAAGGAGATGGTAGAGGGAGATGGTGGAAGTGAGGCCGAGGAGACAAATGGTGGAGATGACGACAACGAGAGCGAAACTGATGAGGAAAGCAAGACTGAAGAGGGAGATGGTGGAGATGAGGAAAGGGAGAGCGAGACTGATGAGGAAGATGAGACGAGAACGAAGAGCAAAAATGATAAGGAAAGAGAGATCGAGATTGATGAGGAAAATGAAAGGAGTACAAAAAGCAAAAATGATAAGGGCAAGGGCATTGCAAGTTGGCCAAAGATACGGTTGAGGCCAAGAAAGTGAACACACGATGTATTTTTTTGGAACAAATATAAATTAAAAAGTATAAGCCTTTTTTGAGACAGAAGTTGAGTATCGAGATTGAAACTGATGTTAAGTTATTTTTGTACAATTCAAGCTACTCTATCATAGTAGCCAATTCATAAAATGTTCAGCCTTTTTGTTGTCATTATGTTGATGGAATCAATATCTTTTTAAGTTCTTTTTGTTGTCATTATGTTAATGGAATCAATACCATTTTAAATTCTTTTTATTGTCATTATGTTAATGGAAAATGCTTTGAAACTTGGTCAAACATATGTCATTCTTTATGACTGAGTTTATAAAGATTGATATGATTGCATAAGCACTTCATCTATGCATAAGTATATGGCAGTGTATTCTTTCTTCGATCATTGCATAAGCACTTCAACTTCATCTTGATCAAGTTTTATTACCTTTTGGCCTTTGCACTTGAGCACATAGCAACCTCAATTTTAGGGGTCTCTCCTGTTAGAGTGGTAAGAATTATATCTGAATTGGCTTCATTAGCCCCCTGACGTGATTTACCCCTGGCTTGGTAAGTTATGCCTTACTCTTGTTCCTTTGATTCTCTCTCTTGCTTCTATTTTTCTGTTTGCCTGTGTTGTGTAGTGGTTGCAAAGGATGAGGAGAAAGGGTCTCTTGGCTGCTCTGGAGAAGATCAAAGAAGGTTATATTATTGTATATGGAGTTTTCATCATGTTTTTTGCTTTAATGGGTTCATGTTTTTTTCCTTTTCCTAATTTATTCTATTTGGGCTTAATTTTGAGGTAGATTTTTTTTTTTTCTTTCTTCTTTGTTGAAGAGTTGATGGTCTTTGGGCTACTATCTCTGTTGTTGGGTCACTGGGTAAGGTGGGTTGCTGAAATTTGTGTGAAAGCCTCTCCCTTGGGGTCGCGATTCTATCCTTGTCTTGTTAAGAATTACAACAGGTTATTGATTCCTCCAGCACAAATGGGGAATTCTAGAGGTTCATACTTTGTTAATCATTCGGTTTTTAGGCAGTGGAAATATGGCTTTCAGCTTAGTCATTGCTCTCAAGTAAATGCTGCACTCCGCTATTCTTCCTTTAGCTTTGGAAATTGTATTTTGGAATGTGAAGCTTTGATTCATAACAGAAGGCGAAAGACGGTTTAAGAAGTGTCCATGAGCAGTAATTCAACTTAAGAAACATAGAGGGATATTGAAGGTTGGGGCTAAATGTATATGCCTTCATTTAAATTGTCGCGTATTTTGATTGTTGATGATTAATATGGATAAAAATTAAGGAAAGATCTAATAATTTCTTCAAAGGACATAGTAAGGGAGCTAACATTCTTTTGAGTCCATTTGCAAAGATCCATCCCAACATATTCCCTAATAGATGTCAATATTCTACTGTTGCTATACTCATTTGTGTACATCAGCCATTTTGGTAAAAGATCACTCAAGTTCAGGAAAAAGATTTTTTGCTTCCACATTCTTCTAAGTCCCTTTTGCTATACTCCGGCATTTTTTGAACGCACTCCGGAGATCAGTTTATTGTAAAATAGGCAGTTTGGCATTTGTAAAACTCGCTCTAGCAAAACTAAAACTCACTTCGACATTTTCTGAAAGCACTTCGGAGATTAGTTCACTGTAAAAAAATAGCCCAGCATATGTAAAAAGCATACCAAAAAAATTAAAAAGCACTCCGGTGTTTCTTGAATCCACTCTAAAGATTGATTCACTGTTAATATGCAGTCCGAAATCTAAAAAGCACGCACTGGCCAAACTAAGAAGCACTCCGGCGTTTTCTGAATGCACTCCGGAGAATGTTCACTGTTAAATAAGCAGTCCGGCATTTGTAAAATGCACTCCGACAACATTAGAAATCGCTCCGGCATTGTTTGAAGGCACTTCGAAAGTTATTCATTGTTAATATGCAGTCTGGTATCCGCAAAACGCACTCCAGCATATTTAGAAATCAGTCCGGCATTTCTTGAATCCACTCCGAAGATTGATTCAATGTTAATAGGCAGCCCGGAATCTAAAAAACACGCACCGGTAAAACTAAGAAGCACTCTGGTGTTTACTGAATGCACTCCGGAGAATGTTCGATATTAAATAAGCAGTCCAGCATTTGTAAAATGCACTCAGGCAAAATTAGAAATCACTCTAGCATTTTTTGAAAGCACTCTCGAGATTATTCACTGTTAATACGCACCCCGGCATATTTAAAAATCACTCTGGCATTTCATGAGCTCGCTCCAGCAAATTGTTTACTGTATAATAGTGCATTCCGGGACTTGTGAAGAGCACTCCGAAACGTACTTCACTGTTAAAGAGGCAGTCCAGCATCTGTAAAACGCACTCCAACATATTTGGAAAACACTTCGGCAATTGATGAACTTGCTCCGGCAAATAGTTGACTAAAATTGGCACTCCGACACATGTGGAAAGCACTCTGGCGAACAGGTCTATGTAAAATTGAACGCACTCCGGCCCATGATGAAGCCACTTTGGCGCTTCATTCATATCAGTCTGGCACTCAGCTTCCTTGATGAAAGGCCAATCCGGCACTTCACTACCTCAATTCGACGAATAACTCACTGGAATCACGAGCACTCCGACATATGAGGATAGCAGACCGGCAATTGGCTTCCTAGAATCCCAAGCATGCCGGCGTTTGTCTGCCTCGGTCCAACGAAAACGTCACTGGAATCGTTGGTTATCCGGCATGTGAAGAACGTCGAACCGGCAGTTTCCTCCCTGGAAAATTTGCAGGCTGGCGATTCATCACATCACTCCGACGATATGTTTCCTGGAAACACAGGCACTTCAGTCCGGCGTTTTAGATATTCGATCCGGCATATTGTTTTCTCATAAGCACTCCGGCGAACAGTCATCGCGGTCCGGTGTTAATGGAAATTGGAGTCCGTCCGCTGGATTTGATCGTACGTTCAAGGTACAGGAAGGGGTATTTTTGTCAAAAATAATAAGCCTTTTTCAGTTGGGGGGGGGTTTTAGTAAGGAAAGTAGGTTTTTTTTAAAAAAGGAGTAAAAAAAGATTAGGGTAGGGGTAGAAGGTCTAAAAACCTCAATTTGGGGGGTTTTTAGTAATATTCGCTTCTATTTTTTTCTTTTTTTTTTGTATATTTTGGATCAAAAGATTTTTATTTTATTTTTTAATGTTTCAAACCCCTAAATATAAAGCATTAACCAAGTCAGCTCAGTTTTCAAATTTTTTATTTGGATGAAAATTATCAGGAGGCAGTTAAAATTCGCAAACCTCAATTTAAGACAAATGAGATTACACTTTTTTAAAATCATGTCTCGGAGAACTAGATTCCATTGCTGACACAAAAAAATAAAACCTAAACATCTCGTGAGATTGGTCACCCTAATACTATCTCCATATACTCCAAAAATTTAAAAGACCAATGATGCGATTCAAACTCAGGACAAAATCATACCAAGTGGTTCAAAACCCGAACCGGTGAAGGTAGAATCGTTCCTCCTCTCTAAAAAAAATAAAGAAAAACAAATATACAATAGGGGATTTTACGGGGGAAACAAGTAATCCAAAATCACCTGATCGTACCAAATACCGTATTAGCACAATAGACTCCACAAATTTTTGATAAATTTCCGCACAAGGACAGCAAACTCGGCATAAACCCAAGTTTTCTTTAAAAACCCCAGCTGGTCGAGTAGGGTTGACGAGCGAAATTCAAATCGTCTCAAATGCAGTAATCACATAAATCTATAGATTCGTGCCATACCTCACCAAGGAATGCTCGTGGATTGAGGATTATTGCTTTGATTAATTGATTGATGGTCATGGGGTAGTGAGGATGCGCAATTTCTTATTGAGTAAAATAAACACTCACTTGCGTAGGAGGGTGGGTGTGTAATTTTTAAAGATCGGGCAAATCCCAAAGAGAAACTTCATTTATTTGGATTCCTCTTCTTGAGCTCGGGAAATAAAGAAACAATACCCGTCCTCTAAAATTCAACGGGGCGCAGTTCCAAAACTCCTGCATCCACGCTTTTTGTCTACCAAACCAGAGGGACCGCAAATCGAAAAAGCAGGGCTGTCAAAGCTTAGCTTAGCGTAGAGAGTGGGGTGCCAAGAAAAACCTGGATCCCACTAGTTTTCCAATTTTTTATTTTAAATGGTAATATTTTGGTTAGGGAAAAGTCGAGGCTCTAAACAATTAAATTAGAGCTTACTTTAAAATTTCATTAAAAGCGGTTGTTTTGATGTCCAAATATCCTTAAATTGATTATCTTGACATCAAGATGCATGGACATGAAAAAAAAAATTGGATTCTAAGTTTTGAAAATAGTGCATCTTGTATCGTATTTTTGGACCATCAATTTTCAAGATTTTTCAAGTTTTTACAGACCTGTTCGATCTGTATTATTTTTTAAGCTTTAAATTTTATAATTAAAGATAAAAATATATTTTAAAGATACCACAAAAATATCAAGTACTAAAACCACATTTCTTGATACCATTTGAAAGCATGTTTTACTTTTGATTCTTTAGAACCTCAGCTCTATATAAACTCCACCCTTTTGGAGCTTGGATCCTTAGCTCTAGTCCAGCCCTAGTTTCTAGCTGGGTTTTCGGGCCGAATTGGCTGGGCCCTAGCCTTGCCTGTAGTTTGCCCTTCCCCTTGCCCAACCCAACCCAACGCAGCCTAGTTTTTTAGATACAAGCGGGTCTGAATCCTAAATCCAAGGCACCCGTCCGGTTTCTGATTTTACGAGTCAGGCAGAGGGTGAAATGTGAGTCAAACATGCCCCAAACCCAGCCCTCCCCATAACTTCCCACTCCCAGTCGGACAGGGAGAAGTAAAGATATATATATCTTCTGAGACAGAGGAGAGAACCTCTGCTTAATTATGATAGGAATCAAGACCAAACCTCTCATCAATTTTTAGTTGATAAAGCAGAAGGAGGGAAAGATCCCTCCAAGCAGGCACGCAAGCAAGCCCCCCCAATCCCCATGGCGTCAGACGATATGGCAAAGTACAACAGGTCCTCCTGGTCATGTATGTCTATGTTGGTGGTCGTCCTCCTCGTCCTCGGCACTAACCTCCTCACTGTCTCTCTCCTCTCTGGAGGTCCCCTGCGCTGGTCCATCCCCACCTTCGACTCCGCCACCGATCTAACCACCACCACTCAAAAACTCCTCCCCTCATCCTGCAACAAACTGAGCTCAGAGCTCTCAGAGGCGAAGCAGGAGATCCAGCTCCTCCGCTCCCAACTCCAAGCCTCAAAATCCCTCTCAGAAGAGCTCCTCAGCCGTCTTTCTTCCCTCTTGGACCATAACAACAGCAATAGCAACAACAACAAGAAGAAAAAAGACCACTTCCCGAAAGACCCTGACCTCCCCCAAGAGTTCAGGGAATCCGCATCTGCAAAGCCCCTGCCTCTTGGCTTCAACCCCAATTTTGGTTCAGACAAGATCTACCCACCTGTCGGTGCTGCTTGCTCCTTGTTCATGGATGAGCTTTTCCAGTATATGCAGTACAGTGTTGGAGGAGATTGCCCAGACGATGAGCTGCTGGCGCAGAGGCTAATGCTGAAGGGGTGCGAGCCCCTTCCACGCCGCCGCTGCCGCTCGCAAGCCCAGCGCAACTACGTGGAGCCCGCCTCTCTCCCAGAGAGCCTCTGGTCCATCCCTCACGACACAAGTGTGGTGTGGACAGCATACTCTTGCAAGAACTACACGTGCCTGGTGAACCGCAAGTATCAGAAGGCCTTTGATGACTGCAAGGACTGCTTTGATCTGGAAGGCCGAGAGCGCATCCGCTGGGAGGGCCCAGGGAGCGGAGGCGGGGAGAGCCTTGACTACTCCATCGACGAGGTGCTGGCATTCAAGAGGGTGGGAAACACCGGAAAAAGCAGCATCCGGATCGGGCTCGACATCGGAGGAGGGTCTGGAACCTTTGCTGTTCGGATGCGGGAGCGGGACGTAACGATCGTGACCACGTCCATGAACTTCAATGCGCCCTTCAACAACTTCATCGCATCGAGGGGGGTGATTCCCCTCTACATCTCTGTATCCCAGAGGCTTCCATTCTTCGACAACACGCTTGACATCGTGCACTCGATGCACGTGCTCAGCAACTGGATCCCCACCACTCTCTTGCACTTTATCTTCTTCGACATTCACAGGATCCTGAGGCCGGGTGGTCTCTTCTGGCTCGATCACTTCTTCTGTATCGAGGACCAGATGAACCAGGTCTATATACCCATGATTGAAGGGATCGGCTTCAAGAAGCTCAAGTGGACAATTGGGAGGAAGCTGGACAGAGGCGTCGAGCTCCATGAGATGTACATCTCCGCCCTCCTAGAGAAGCCCCTCTAGCCTACTCTACTTCTTTTTTCTCTTCTTTTTTTTTTTTTTTTTTTTTTTGTGTGTTTTTTTTTTAATAAAAAAAAGAAAAAAAAGAAAAAAAAGCCACGAGCATTACCCACACACTACCCTCTCCCTTTGACACTATTTTGTGTTTTTCTTGTGTGGGACCTAAGGTTTTATTGGTTGCTAAGGTCTTGCGAGACCACACAAAAATATATTTTTAGAAGTATTGACTCCGTTTCTTTGACAATGTGAGTGATGGAGCCTAACCAATTCATCTGTCTTCTTCGCACCTATTCGATGAGTGAGTGAACTATTAGAGTTTTATTTTATTTTTCTTTTTGTGCCATTGTGTTTGTTGCTTTAGCATTAAGCCCCAAAACGGGCTCTAAACCAAAGCAAATCCGTTTCACCCTTTAAAAAATGGATCTGGTGCTGGTGCCAATCTAACTAATGTAGCGAAAGCAATAGTCACGATGACATTCAAGAAGGATTTTATGCTCTAAACTTTTTTTATTTTGTTTTTCTCTTTGAAATGAATTAGATCCTGAAGTCAAGATAGAGGAGTTTGCAGATTTTGGGGTCCTCACTCATCCAAAATATAGGGAGGTGCCAAAGTTCTTGGTGGAGGCTGCGGCCTCACCAATTGGTTTTCATTTATTAAATTTTGTTTTGATGGCAAACATAAGATCTCATATAGACGTACATGCACATGTGTATGTATCACGTTTCGCGTGCTATTAAGGTATATTTTGATTCCGACCGTCATTTAGTTTATGCATTACAAAATCTGACAATTTGCTTGGTAAGGTGTGGCACTAAACCAATGACCTTACCCAACAAATTGGTAGTACAACATATAAATAATAGATAACTCAAGTATCTTTTAATTGCTAGCACACTTGGGCATTGCAAAATATCTTGATTTTACAAATGCTCTAGAGATGAATTCCATCTCATAGGATATGATATCAATTCCAAACTTACATATATGTATATATTGAGGATGTCCTTGTATTATAATAGCACCTTGACTTATAAACAATCATAGATATTATTATTGGGGTTATGGCCTTTTAACGCCTTGAAACTCTCATTTTTATGGTTCTTGCTTACAATAGGACTGATTAAAAACACCATGACTTGCTGGATCTTTGCGAGATGGGATTTGGTGTTAGTGTACAAAGAGTCACAAAGTCCTGACCGTGAGGCAGATGTATTGGGGATAATAAACTGAGAGGGTTTTAGAGATATCCCTAGGCAAGGTCGGTGAGTATCCTCTTAGTCACAAAATGAGTATTTATGAGATTTATGTTATCTAAATGTCTATGGATCTGAGAATCTTTGTAAGCTCCAGTATTTATGAGTGAGCCCCATGCGAGATGGTTATGCTTTGAGAAGACATAGGCAAAATACTTGACCTTGAGCCATCTTAAAGCATGTCCATGGATAAGGGTATGTGAGATCTCTTGGAGTACTCCATTAGGCTAGTCCCAAGTTTTAGTGGTACTGCCCTAAGTTTTAGGGGCAGTGCCCAGGCGGTCTGAGGTTAAAATCTTCAAACCTATCTTTCTCTTTTTTTAAGAAAAATAGTCGTCTGAGGATGGGGACCTTGGACTGCCTCCTGGATTGAGTGGTCTGTGATCCCCATCTTTGGACCACTCATTTTTTGTAAAAACAACGGTTCAAGAATGGGAAGCTTGAACTGCTCCTCTGGAATGAACATTGCTTAGATCTAAGGCAGTATGAGGTTCCCATCCTTGGACCGCCATGCGATCACATTAAAACCATAGGTTTCTTTCTTTGTTCTCTCTCTCTCTCTCTCTCTCTCTCTCTCTCTCTCTATCTCTCGAAACTGTTAATAGACCCAAGCATCGATGGTAGGATTTCTAGTGACAGTACCCTAATTTCGGCAAGATCCCAATAATTAGGTGATTTTTTTATTTTTTATTTTCACATTGTTTGAGAAACTTGATGCTTAGATTTGAAGATAGCGTTTTTCAAATGGGAAGTTGCATAGATATACCTTAGGTTGCAATTGAAAGGAGACGATTAGGATTTCTATAATCTATAACATCACCTCAAAAAACAACAGAAAATCACAAAAAATTATGAAGAAAAATCAACCAAATCATGAATTTGGTTTTTGACATATTAGGGTTTTTTTTTCCCATTTGAAATCTAACAGAAATTTAGTGGTTTGTGTGTTATGTTTGTTTACAATGCAAAATCAGAGAGATTATCAAAGGAAGATCCCTCTGATCTGAACACCACAAACTGATTTTAAAAGAAGATGATAGAGAATGTAGGGAAAATCGAATTCTGATATGAGGTCAAATCAGCTGAGAAACGAGCGGATCTGTTCTCAGATCAGTGGCAGCGCCAACATTGATCCAAATATGAAACATGAAATAATAATTAAAAAAAAAACTACTATAATCTAATTAAAATAAAATAAAAGCCGAAAATAAATAATAAAAAAGTAAGAAACACCAGACCAGATGGCTTGGGATTCCCGAGCCTTCAAGGGCTTGCCCATATTAGAATTGGTGTCCTCTTTGTCTCTCTTTCTCCAAGTGTTGACCAGGCTTGAGCCTAGTTGAATGGTTTTTCTGATCTAAAGATAGCTTAGAACTAGGGTTTCTTAGGTTAGGTTTTTCTTTCTCTGGGCTCTCTCTCTCTCTCTAACTTCTAGCCTTCCATGTCCTAGCTCTCCTCTTTTTAACCTATACGTCTCACCTTTTTAAGAGGTGTCCATATTCTCCCACGTGCCACCTCCTTCCCAAAAAAAAATAACATCAGTTTTATTTTTCTTAGAGACCTAATAGGGATGTAGAATAGATAACTACTAAAACATGAGGATTTGCTAGGTGTGGAATGGATAACTACTAAAAGCTGGGGATTTGCTAGGTATAAAATAGATAACTACTAAAAGTTGAAGATTTGCTAGGTGTGGATCATAGGATGGGACCATAGATTGTGGTGGTCTATGGTTTAGGGGTTTATTGAAATAGTGTGGTCCTATGGGTTCAAGAAAAACCATGAAATTTGTCAATTTTAAAATGGGGTGTCTACAGTTGCCCCTCTTTGGCACTCCCTGTCCTTCGAAGGACAGGTGCGTGGCAAAGAAGTAAACACTCATTGGCGCTCCCTGTCCTTCAAAGGGTAGGTGAACGTCAAAGATAATGTAGACATTTTAACTTTCATCCTGGCATTTCGTGGTCAAAGGGCACACCGACTAATCTCTCTAAGTCATTGCGCTCCGAGCTCACCCACCTAGGGTATTTTCATCTTAGGGGTTTCGGCGTGAGATCTAGGTGAGTTGTACAAGCTTGAAACTCGAGTTGGATTTTCTGGCCATGTCACTTAACTTCAAGGGATTTCATAATTTCAAATTCTTAAACCTGGCATTTTCTTTTATTTCCTTATGTTTTTTATGGTTTTTCTTATCTAGGAAAATGTTTGTCTAGGAAAAAGGCTTGTTTGGCCAATTTTTGAAGAGAGAGAGAGAGAGAGAGAGAGAGAGAGAGAGAGAGAGAGAGATAGAGAGAGTAGAGACGAACAACGTAGTAATACATACTAGTTTAACGGTTCGTCGTACGTCTTCCGTTTACGTTTAGTAAGTAGTTAGTTTAGTAGTAGTAAGTTAAAAGAAGGGAGAGATTA